CATCCGACGAAGTGGGCATTCACCCACGAAAGCTTATGCTCCAATACATCTGTTAGTCTTAAAGGTGCCACAGGACCCTCTATTGCTTTTTACCGATCCAGACTAACACGGCTACCCCTCTGATACTTGATAAAATGTAGTTTATTGAATTCATCTAGCTAAGAGCTAAAGCAAGTTTAATTAAATTTTAATTTAAAATGGCATTAACTTTTGAAATAGCGATGACAGAATGGCTTGTCATCACTGATGAGCATGAACTAGGGTGTCAAAGGACTGCTGAAAGCCTCAGCGGCCATTAACCAAAAGTAAGGCTGACATTTTCAAAGCAGTCCAAAGGGTGTGGGCTTTCTTTAAAATGAATGGAAGGTGTGCAGCTATCTCCTCTGGACTGCACTGGAAATCTTAACCCAGGTCTCCAACCCTTTTCTTTGTATTAGAATGTAGACCAATGGCTAGGGGCTTTGTCAATGGAGGAAGGTGAATTTTGCCATCAAGGCTGAAGTTAGCCAAATAAGTGGTTTGTAAAGTTAAGACACATTACAAAAAGAAGTGGGGAGAGGGAGCTTTTCACAGTTAGAATTTCCTGACCTTTTAGTGGTTGGTTTATTTTTCAAACTATGGTGATCTTGTAAAGATTTTACCCTTGGATTAATGATGTGTACTTTCAGCCTTAGCCGCGCTTTAATGATGTGAATTAATATGTCAGACCTTACCCTGATGGGAGCCCTGTGAATTGTGGGATCTTAACAATTTCTAAGGGAAAACTAAGCACTTCAGTAAGCTCATAAGTGCGCCCATTAAGTTGGCGTTTAATGCACAGCATTTGGCTTTCACTCAATTGCAGCAAACATCTGAGCTGTGCTAATAGAAAGCTTGCCATGCGTAAGCACAATACACGCTTGCATGTCTTGTCGCTAAAGCTGCCTCAGGTTTAAATTTTGTCCAAGCTCTGCCCTGAACCTTTAACACACCTTTAGTAGGTCCCATTCTGGCCACCCAGACTTTTCCCCACTAGTGGAACATTGTGAGCAGTATGGCCAACAGCCTGCTATGCGCTGTACTGATGGTTGGTTTCAGGAGTGTGGGCCTTATTCTGCTCTCTATTGCATTGATGTAACTCTGTTGAGTTCAGTGGAATCACTCTAATTTTAGGCCAGTAAAACAGAAAGAAGAGCATGGTCCTGTGATCTTACATTATGCCAGAAACTGGGAATGGGTGACAGGGGATGAATCACTTGATGATCACCTGTTCTGTTCATTCCCTCTGGGGCACCTGGCATTGGCCACTGTCGGAGGACAGGATACAGGGCTAGATGGACCTTTGGTCTGACCCAGTCTGGCTGTTTTATGTTCTCATGTTATGCTTAATAATTCCCAACAGCTTGAGTCGGCTATAGCCCTTCTCAGAGTGCAGACTTTCACAAATCCTTCTCTCTGGCTGACCCTTCATGGCTGTGTTGCCTTGTGTTTTACTTGCAAGTGACGGGATGTCAGTTTCAGTTTGCTGCAAGTAATCCTGTGTGTTAGGGAGCTGGTCCAATACA